CCTGTATCTGCCCCAGAGCCCTATCAGCAGTGTGTCACTGACCTGTATCTGCCCCAGGGCCCTATCAGCAGTGTGTCACTGGTCTGTTTCTCCTTTCTTCTTGTAGCGTCTCGCCCAGGGCGTCCTGATCGCCCCCCACCGGTGCCCAACCCCGACTATGAGGTAACGGTCTTCACTCTGCTCACGAAAGTTTTAGTGCATGATCAGTTACAGAGTACCTGTCAGAAGGGATGAGTTTATTGCTCTAATAAGATGGGAGACATTGCTTTAAGTAACTACTTCGCCTAGTAACTGTGTGCACATCGTAAAGATAACTGCAGCTCGATCTTAAACTTTCCCCCCAGCCTCTCCTTCGTTTTAAAAGGTCATCCCTTGCACGTGTAACCTGTGACTGTAATCGATTACCAGCACGTTCACGACGGGCCGTCCCACCTATATTCTTCGTCTTTGCTTGGTTGTCAAAGGGGGCTGCAGCACCTGCGTCAATGCAGGATCGATTTAGCAAATCACTTCCTGGGGGAGGGGTCGGGTCACACCGTGCATCGTGCCGGCACTGCCCTGCTGGAGCGACTCCCTCTCCAGACGCCTCAAGTGGGGCTCTGTGTACCCCGTGTACCCCACTTGTCCCTTGGATGGGGGGACCTAGTGACCCGTATGGACGGGCGATACAGAGTCGGATCTGGGTGGTCCCGATCGAGGGCTGCTGCTGGGGCTTGAAGACGTTCGGGGGAACGTGACAGTAGGGGAATCGGTCAAGTGAAGGCGGGACACTGTAGGAGCCGTGTTTAAAGCTACAGAGACCAGGATCGGCAAAACCGGTCGTTCCAAACTGGCCCGTTTCCAGGGGGGTCTGGAGAGCGAGGAACGATCTGACGCGAAAACCCCCCCACCTCCGCTAAAGCACAGGGGCAGCTCTGGGGTCTGCGCTGACCCCAGTCTGGGGTCACCCCCCCTAACTCTTGGGGATCCCAGCCTTCTCCCCTGCGCGGCCAGTGTAACCCTACTCCCTTCTCCTCTACAGCCTCTCCGGGCCGGCGCCCAGGACTTCTACAGTGGACTCCAAAAGAACCACTAAGATCTTCCTCCCAGTCCGACCGCAGCCTTCCCAGTTCGCTCCTCCCGGTCTCCGCCCCTCCTCCCGAAACCAAGAGCCGACAGCCCGTCCTTCGGCGGTCCAAGGTCAACCCGCCGCCCGGTGAAAGAGACTCCAGTGGTGACACCTCCACGAAGTCTCCGCGTCTCTCTCCATCTCTCTCTCTCTCTGCGCCGCTTCCGAGAAACAGCGAAACGCCGTCTGTCGCTCCCGTCCTCCGGCCGGGGTCTCGCCTGACATCTGCGGGGCAGGGGGGTCGGGAAAGGCCGAGGAGACCACCGGCTGCTGGGGCAGGACCTCATGCGTTCGAGGCGGCCTCTTGGCTGACGGTTGATTTATTTCAGCCAGCGGTCGCCTGAAGGAGACGGCGTCTGTTCGCAGTCCGATAAACAAGCCTGCTTGTCCCAGCCGAGGAGTTCGGGGCCTGTCTACTGACACAGCGACTTCAGTCTGATACAAGCGATGTCTGTCACAACTATTTCGTTAAGTATTTCGAAACCCTTTGGATATGTGTTATACTGTACTTTGGGCTGGGAGGTTTTATATAGTATTACCCTTTACAGTGAGTGCAATGAGTTTTTTTTTAAAACCTGGTTTCACGCAGTATGTATATACAGCACGTGCTCGTTTCTATCAAATAACTTCAGGCAGAAGCTCCGCTTGAGCTTTTAAATCTAAATGACAATTTTGTTTTCACCTTTCTTTGGCTGTGTCAATTGTTTTACACCATTTAAAGAAATCTTTTCTTTTTTTACAATACCTTAGCATACAGTATGTGTTGTAAATTGGGCTAACAGTTTTATTAAAGTAATTCATTTGAAAAAATATGGTTTCGCAGAGTATGTTTACTGTATATATAGGTTGTCCCTCTATATGACATTTTTGTTATGCAGAAAATATGATCAGTGCAAAACATACTATATAACAAGGTACTATATAATCTAAAGTGTTAACATTTCAATTACCCAAAACGAAACTTGCATTGTGCTTAACATTTTACATTTCCAACCTACAAGGAGTTGCTAGCTCAGCCCCGATAGGTTAAGACATTAAATCTTTAACGATGAAGATATTTAATTACACTTTGCTAAAATGGTCGGTCTGCGCTGATGTGACCGAGTACAGAGCGATTCGAAAGCGAAATTCAGAAAAATCAGTCCTTTTCGCTACAAGAGGCTACTTGGCTTTCAATATGCATTAGCTATTGAATTAGTACTGAATTTCAAAAGGCGAGTCTGTCATTTCTGCATCCCGAGAACTTCATCATCGGTGAGCCGCGTGTCCGTCTGTGGACACTCCCTTACATTTCAAACCAAACAACGCCTTTCTGTTTCTTACTCATCCACACCGTGGCCTTGTCTGAGAGATCTTCGTCTTAAAAATGAAATTCCCATTGGATTGAATTTCGAGAAATTTTTCGCAACAGAACAATCATTCATGGGATGCTAATGGCAGGTTACGAATTCCCATTGGATTCCATTTCAAGAGCATTGGTTTTTTTCAGACAGGAATTGCAGACTCTGGTGTTCAGGGGGCGCTGGCGGCACCCGATCTGTTTGGGATCAGATCCCGGTATTGGCCGGGTGGTACCCGCTGGGTGGTACGGGACCCACAGTACCTGTCTGATTGCACACACATCGGCCGCTGTTGACAGGCCCGAATTCCCATCGGATTCGAATTTCAAGAACTTGGTTTTTAACAGGAATCGGAGATTCTCTTGGGCATAGGGAAGCTGTTGACAGGTTTGCATTCCCATCGGATCTGATTTCACACGCTTCTTACTGGGATAGGAGAGTGTTTTCATTGACAGGTTTAGTGGGGAAACTTGAACTGTTCTAAACAGATTCTGAAACATCGCTGC